TGAATCACGACGCTCGTTGTGAGGTGGGGAAGGGGTGTGGTGTCACCCCTGATCACCTCTGAAACCCCCATTCCAGCGGTCATTCGTGTCCACTCGGGAAAACGGCCGTCATGGTGGTGGAGACCGGCCGCGCAAGCGACGGCGTCGGTCGTTCTTCTCCTCCAGCAACTGCATCACACGGGCTAATTTTGTTTGCAGCTCAGCAACCTAATCCTCCATACTGGCAGCTTTCGCGAGATAAAAGGCCCACACAGCTCCCCACGTCTAGAAGCTGTGATACCAATGATAGGAACACACATAAACAACAGAAATAATGTAGGTAGCAATACTCGAGTTAAGTATTTTCTAAGAATGAAACTAGATATAACTGAATGCAAATTACAAGAGTAGGAATAGAGCACTAAGTAGCTCAAACACTCCAAAGCCCAATAACTAAAACTTCCATCCCCTAAAACTCCTACCAATTACTCAATAAATACTAGCATAACAAAAAAATACCAAAACTACTCCTAAAATATTTCCCATAACAGAAATTATTTAATCTACTCCTAAAATCTCTTATTCCTTAATCAGCTCCTAAAATCTCTCATTCATTTGAATCCTCCAAGTTAGTTACAACTAATTTTCTGTTTTCCTTGAACCTCTCCTTGTATAAACCTTCCCATGGAACTGATTCTTTCCATAGAGCTGATTCCTATCAATACTTATCAAATTCATAATTTATTAATTATATTAAGTTATAATTTATCATGATATTTCATTTTTAATTATTTTTATGATTATTATATATTTAATATTTTTACTTAACAAGTATTGTTTTTTAAATAAAAAAATAGTTATTAAAAAAATTATGTAATGAAAACTCTATTTGTACTCTAATTAATAAAAAAAAGTTATGTTTCTAAAAAATAAAAAATAATTTAATTTAAATTGAGAAATATTAATTTAAATTAGTTCAATTTTAATAGTTTTTTTTTCAAATCAATGTAAACCAAACAATAAATTTTATTTATAATTGGTCCGTATGGTTTTTTTTTTTTCAAAATTGATCTGAAACGAATATTAAATATCTCTTAAAAATTCAATAACAATATATATATATATATATATATATATATATGAGATGAATAAAAATAAACTAAATTAAAAAATATTAAGAGATAAGATATTAACAAAATTTTCATATAGCAAATTTGATAAAAACTATTATACAAAATAGATAGATATAAATATAAGATAACATATAATTTATATTAAACGAAATACAGAAAATAATCGTTGAAAGTGCAATTTTATTTATTTTATTATTTTCAAATTTTTTTTTATAAAATTTAATTTTTGAATATATTATAACTTGTTATGCATATTTTGATATTTCAGAAACTAAATAATCTAAAACATATTGTTATACATAATTTTTAAATTCACACATTTACAAATTAAATTATACAAAAAAAAAAACTAAAATGTCACCTTCAAAAATCAAATTGTATATTTACTCCTAACATTATATATATATCACACGAACACATGTGCTAATATTATATCTAAACTTTGTCTTTTGCACTTAGTTACCATCAATTTCGATTTGAAAACATAATTGATTTATACTTAGAGTGTCGTGTTGGGTAAAACCTAAAGAATAATTTACACAATAACACATAAATGCTCGTTGATTGTATTTTATTATATCGTAAGAGTATAAATATTTTTTAAGTTTAATTATAATTTTAAGTTTTTAGTTTATATGTAATTTTAATCTTTTAATTTTATTATTCACTTTTATTCTTCATGATTTTTTAATCGTTTCAATTATTTAATTAATTAATAAAAAATACAACAAAGATATAATATATCATTAATTAAGAAAAATACATATATCCAATTAAAATTAAAAAGTATAATAAAAATATAAAATAAAATTTAGCTTATTATTTAAGTTTTTAGTTTATATGTACTTTTAATCTTTTAATTTTACTATTCACTTTTATTCTTCTTAATTTTTTAATCGTTTCAATTATTTAATTAAGTAATAAAAAATATAACAAAGATATAATATATCATTAAGTAAGAAAAATACAACAAATATTATATATATATATATATATATATATATATATTCATTGAATAAAAATTTGAGGTAAAAACTTGGTTAAACAGTTAAAAAATTAAGAAAAATAAATATATATATACAATTAAAATTAAAAAGTATAATAAAAATAGAAAATAAAATTCAGCTTATTATTTAATATAATTACAACTATTTTTCTCTTCATTCAAACATAAACACACTTTAAAAAAATAAATTCTTTCACTAATAATTTAATCTGGTCTTGTCTAGACAAATACTCAATACTACTCAAATTGGACATTATTGGTTCCTTGTAATAGTAGTTTCTGCTACCCAATTAGAACTTGGTAAACTCATGCTCCAGTTCTCCAATCAATGCATAATTAACTGTGCAATGCACCGATTTAATTAAAGAATAAAAATAAAATAATAATTATTTTGTTAAATAAAACATTTCCTATGGAATTATTCGGAATAAAAAGTAACAAAACTTTTATAGTTGATTAATGTATTAGTTAATTTTTCAAATTTATTTATTTGATTAAAATATTTTTACTTTTCAACAATAAAATTTGACTTATATTTTTGAAAATTATATTATTTATATTTGTTATTAATATATGCACTAAAATATTTTTTTTGTTAAAAATTAATATTTTTTACTGTAATTTATTTAATTCTTCACTAAAAGAAACCAAAAAAGATAATAAACGATTGGAAAAATAAAAAGTCAATAAACACATATAAAAAGTAGAAAATTTAATAAAAGAATAAATAAATTAAAAATACTAAAAATATTAAAATAACTTGTAAAAATTATGGGGAAAGACCTTTTAAATCATTTATAGATATAAATAATAGACAATTCAATTCAATATTTCAATTCGTTTATAATTGAGGTAAAACACACACATATATATACTACTGCTAATCAGTATCATAAAGTTAAGGACGTTGATTAATAAAATAACAAATAAAAATAAATTTTTATTTAAAAATTTAGATTACGTTAAAAATCACAATAAGAGAGAATTGATAATACTTTTTAATATTCTTTATTTATTAATTAATATTCCTATGTTACTGGTCAGAATTTGTCTAACAAATTTTTTTTAGAAAAAAGGTAATTATCTAGTTAAAGTGGTTTTTCACAAACCACGACATGAATTATCGGCACAAAATCATTATTTTTTTCCTATATAAAATATGCTGTTTTAAGCCTAGCCCAATTTCTATTGTGAGATCAGGTTGTATTAAGCTAGATGTAGGCCCATTTACAATTTGGGCCTAGGCATCAGCTTATTTACTAACGGGCTAAGCTGGCCAGTCTGGTTACCCCGCACCTATACTCACGGGTTGAGTTATGACCTTATTACAAGATTAAATTAAATTTTTGGTTATAACATCTGATATTGGTTTTAGTTTTAATTATTATATGAAAAAATTATATATTTAAGTATATGAATATATTAATAAGTTCCTCCCAGTTGTCTTACATTTGTGTTCAATTAAATTTCAATATTTACAAAATAGATTTATACTGATATTTAATTTTTATATGAACAAATTTTATTAAAGACTAAAAAAAAGGGTTGGGTTTATGAATTTTTTTTAATTTATCCTTCTTAAAACCAATGAAATATAACATACATGTATGTGTATGATGAATAATCTAATCTTATTTTACAAGATATATTTTTAAAGTGAGTAAATAAGAGTATGTTTAATTTTAAATGTAGTAAAATATTATAAATTTAATTGACACATTGATAGTAAAAAAAATTATACTATCATTTAATTATAGATTGATATATTATTAGAAATCATTAACTTTATAACAATCATTTTAAAATGTATATTTATTATGCATTTTAATTAGTTAATGGCACAAAAATTATCACACTAACATTGTAACAAAAACTGAAAAAAAAGCTACATTCATATCATGAGATTTAATAAATTTCACTCGATATTCTTTTCTTTTTATCCTCCGCGAACTTTCTTTAGCTTATGTAATATTATAAAGTTGTATAGCACACTCAATTACATAAATCATCTTTATTTTCTTATTCAATTAGATGAATAATTAAGGAAAAATTAAAGTAACGAACAAAAGAGAGAGATCAAATGAAATATGGTCAAACCTTAAAAGGTATGAATGTAATCCGTCAAAACTTAACTATTATAATAGATTTTAAATTGACTCATAAATAAGTATATTTTTACTTATTGGTTTAAAAAGTATTTCATAGGTTGAAAAACAACTGAAAAAATAAATTATAATTTTAGAATAGGAATGGCGAAGCAATTATGACCCAGGAAGCGTCAAACTTGAAGAAAACCTATAGACCCAATGAAATAAAATGATTTGTTGAATATTCAAAATGGAAGTCGGTGAATGATCAAAATTTAAGGTGAGGAAGTAACTTATAATAAATGGTACAAAACTGAAGGGGGTGATATACACACATGGAAAAACACATAAGCATTAATTACTTTTTATTTTGGTAATTTCATTCAATGATTGCAGCATCACGCAATAATCACCAAAATAGAAAAACAGAGTTTTACAAAATGTGCCTAGTGAGTCCAAATGGCAAGCACTTGATATGATTCCTTAAATCGGTAGTTACAATTCATCCCTGTGTTGTTCCAATTTTAATGGAAAAATAAGTGACGAACATTTCCTATATGGTATCGTACCCACCAATCATCAATGATGAATATTTAACCTTTTCTGTCGTTTCCATCAACGTAAGATTCACTTTAATTGGAAATGGAGGGAAATAAAGTAGTGCCCACGACCTTAGGAGTGTGCATATTACAGTTAAGCGCATATTAGCAACTTTAGTTATTTTGTTTATTTTTTATTTTTTACTTTTTTTAATTAACTCGTACCTCTCTCTCTCTCTCTCTCTCTCTCTCTCTCTCTCTCTCATAGAAACTACGACAACAACCACAGCACCATTGCCACCGTAACCACAAGGATCAAAACGCCGTCGTTTAAGACGAGGCGCGGCGATTCATTGCGGCATTTGATTCAATTCGGCGCCCTAGTGCAGTTAGAGTCAGATTTACATTTCACATTTCACGCAACTTATAGGTACCTTCATTTCCTCCAATTGAAGTTTCGCTGCGATTTTAAGGGAAAGATTCCCCAATTGTTCACAATACAGCTTCAATTTTAAGTGCCTTAATTAATATTTCTCAAGATAAAGCGTGGATTGTGTTGCTCTGTCGTTTCAACGATTGATGCACGGGTTTTCTTCTGCGAATTTTCTTTGTTCTCGGAATTCGCAGTAGACACCCGAATCGGATAACCGATGAGGGTGGAGATTTCGATTCGTGCGAGGATTAGGGTTTTCGGGGAAGGTTTTAGGGATTTGTAGGGTTTAAGTATGCTTTAGCTGTTGATCTAATTCAAATCAGGGTGTTTTTCCTTGGGGGGTTGATGATGGTTGGTTGAGGATGGTGAGGCTTTTAGGATTGACTCGTGGGGAGGTTGATGAACCCAGGGAAATTGCGTCGAGGTCCAATCTGAATAGTGAGTCCAGTGAAAATGGGTGGCTCATTAGGTTCTTTGACTCGTCGTTCTTCTGTGAGTGGATTGCTGTTAGCTACTTGTACAAGCATGATCACTCCGGGGTGCGTGATTATCTCTGTAATAGAATGTATACACTTCCCTTGCAGGGAATTGAGAGTTATTTGTTCCAAGTGTGTTACATGATGATACATAAGCCGAGCCCGTCATTGGACAAGTTCGTCATAGATGTGTGCTGCAAGTCACTTAAGATTGCTTTGAAGGTGCATTGGTTCTTATTGGCGGAGCTCGAGGACTCTGATGATAATGAAGGGATTAGTAGGATTCAGGAGAAGTGCCAGATTGCAGCCACCTTGATGGGTGAGTGGCCTACCCTAATACGGCCTCAAAATGCACCTTCAAGCCCTGGGGGCAAGAACCAAGTTTTGAATAAGATATTGTCATCAAAACAGCGTTTGTTGTCGCTCACGTCTTCACCACCTGCTCAGAGGTCGTTGTCATTCTCACCTTCTTCGGGAAACAATTTGCAGGAGGATGGTAGTCCACATTCTCCTGAGGAAACCAAGTTGTTTAAGAAATTTATGCCAGGTCCAAAGGTTAGAGATGCTTTGCTTTTTAGGAAATCGGTGGAGAAAGATGATGAATACTCTGAAAAGGATGGCTTTTTCAAGAGGCTTTTAAGAGATAGCAAAGGTGATGATGAGTTGGGCCAGAAAATTCGTGATACTTTTCTCTTCCGTAAGTCATCTGAGAAATATGATGAAGATTCTGAAAAGGATAATTTCTTTAAGAGACTCTTAAGGGACAGCAGAGGGGATGATGAAGAATCTGAAAAGGATGGTTTCTTTAGAAGGCTCTTAAGAGACAGTAAAGGTGAGGATGATGATTTAGCCTCAAGTTCAGATGGATTCTTTAAGAGGTTGTTTCGTGATAGCAAGAATGGTTCTGAGGATAAAACACTCACTAAGACAACGGAGGATGAAGAAAAAGAAGGATTTTTCCGAAAGCTTTTCAGAGAGAAATTTGAAGATAAGAAGGATGGGAATGATGAAGGAGATATTGTTAATTCTGAAGAGAAATGTGCAAAGCTTGCTGAAGATGATGAAAAAGAAGGGTTTTTCCGGAAATTCTTTAAGGATAAATTTGAGGACAAAAAAGATACAAATGATATAATTGAAGATGGTACTACCAATGTTGAGGAAGAAGAGGCTTCTGATTTTTCTTTGTTCAAAAGAATTTTTCGCGTGCACCCAGAAGATGGTAAAAGTAGTTCAGCCAATGAAAACAATAATGGTGGCTTGCTTGAAAGTAGTCCAGGTACAGAGAATTTTTTCCGCAAATTGTTTAGAGATCGTGACCGTTCAATTGAAGACTCAGAGTTACTTGGTTCAAAAAAACAGAAAGAGGTGTGTTAAATATTTATTAACAACTAGCATTTAGTTTATTTGCATATTGGTGGAATGTAAACCAAGAAAAAACTCTGAATGAAATCCATACTTAGACACACCAAATAATTTTCTTTTTAATCATACACATGGCTTAATGGCATCATGACATCATGATACAAAATCCATTTAACATTACCCATCTAGATTTTGACATTGATTACATTTTTAACAACCACATTGTTGGCTAGCTGCACTTCTAATCAGTAACAGTCATATTATAGGCATGGGTACATGGCATATCGCGCATACAATAGAGGCTTCAGAAATGATCGTTATTAGTGGCATTGCTGATTGTAGTTGTGGGTTAGAGTTTGAAGAGTAACATTAATATTAATGCATTCTGAACTGTTTTAATTTTCTTCATATGTTTGCTAGTTTCTATATCAGATTACAGCAATTTCCCATATATCACATTTTTATGCCTCTTGGATTTTATCATGCTACTTTGGCAGAAGCATCCTGGATCGCCAAAGCAACGAAATGAGAAAACAAAGCCCCCATTACCAATTAATTCATCGCAGTTCCGGAAACGAGCTTACCATGAGTCATTGGATTTTGTGCTGTCATTATGTGAGACATCATTTGGGTTAGTGGATGTATTTCCAGTTGAAGATCGCAAACATGCCCTGCATGAGGTTATTTCCTTACATTTTTCTTTGATATTTTCTTTATCTAATTGATGTGATTAGAGACGGGATTATGCATATATTTATATACATGTTTAAACCTGCTACACTCTAACACATACATATTCTTTGTTTTTCTCTTTCTCAAGTCGCTTGTGGAGATCAATTTACATTTACAAGAGGTTCAGAATACTGGAGGTACTTCTTAACTATTAATGATATTATTTTAATGATGTTCTGTGGGGCTAAATGGATTCCACCATTTGTCATATGTTTCATCTGAACATATTACACGTTAATTCCAAAGAGTTATCTGAAAATTTTCAGTAGCAGTAATGTTACTTATTGTGGTAAAAGACCAAATCCTTGTTTGGAATTTTACCATGATAAATGGTTTGGTTGTCATGCAAAAATGAGTTTTTTTTTTTTTTTTGGTTAAGTGGGAGAAAATGGTGAAAATTTTCATTCATCTATCATTGCTTGTTTTTCTTTTCTCCAGGAATTAATTTATAGAAATGACCATTATGGTTAGGAGCCCATTTCATAGAGGAAACTAGCAAGAAGTTTTTTCTATTATGTAGTGGAAGTTGTTGTTTGTTGTTTTTTTACACTATGTTTGGATTGATGGAAATTAGTCAAATGGAGTCGAGTGATAATACTAGGTTCCATTGTTTGGATTGTTTATAATAGGATGGAATGTAGCAAAATATGATGGAATTCATTCCATTTCACTCCTTGCAATATCCCTCTTTTTCTTGCCCTCCAATTTGGGGAATATGGATGAAATCATTCCTTTTTTCTGTTTCATTATAAAGATATCCAAATAATGAAAAGGTAACTTTGTTCCATTCCACTCACCATTAGATATCCAAGCACAGCCTAAAAATCCTTTCTTTTGGTGTGTCAATTAAGTCACTGCATTAACTTCACTAGTTCACTTTCAATTTTCATTTATCCTCTTGCTTGTATATGAGTCTTGCGCTTCCTGTATTCCTAGGAGTTTGTTTTCCGTTGGGAAAGGGCATGTACCGTGTGCTTCTTATACCTGAAGATGAAGCTGTTCTCTTGAATTCTAGGGAGAAGGCACCTTACCTGATTTGTGTTGAAGTTTTGAGATGTGAAATGCCAAGGTATTACTGAGATAATAATCCTCATGCGTGTGGAAAATAGTTCACTTAGTAAAGTGTGAATCATATTTCTGATATACTACCCTTCCTGCAAAATATTTGTTATAGCAATTCAAAGGAGACATCCAGTTCTCAAAAACTTTCTAAAGGTGGAATTCCTTTGGCAAATGGAGACGCTCTCTTGCAAAAGCCGCCCCCTTGGGCTTATCCCTTATGGACAGCACAAGAGGTGTATCGCAATAGCAACGATAGAATGTCCAAATCAACTGCTGAGGCTATTGACCTAGCAATGACCCATGTACCTGAGACAAAAGTCAAATTTGTTAGTCTAAATCTTTCGGTGGAAATGCAATTACATGGTCAGCAGGAGAAGACTGAAGCAGATCTATCTAAGGGCCATCGGCATCCTGCTTCAATTAACAGGAGTATACAAGAAGTTGCAAGGCCATATCATGACAGTGATATGGAGTGGGTACGGGTAGTGTTGAAAGCTGATCCTCGGATTAGACTGGAAGATATTGAGGATCAAGCACCACGACGACGGAAGGAACATCGTCGTGTTCCTAGTACAGTGGCAATAGAGGAAGTAAAGGTGAGTCTGTTAATTTTTTTTTCTTCCTTCACTTGAAGAATTGTATTTCATTGTATCAGTGTGTGATGTCTATTGGATGAAGTAAGTAAACTCATCTGATTTTTCTCCAGTACATGAAGATTCCTGTCTACTAATATAATTAAATGTTTAATAGAAAAACATTGTTTATGTACTCCATTACATGATAATATAATCAAGAACTTGAAACATTAAACTTTGCAATCATGCCGGGCATATTTTGTTGGTTATATTTTGTTGGTATGAACCAATAGTATGGCTTATGTAAAGTCATTCTGTTCAGTGAAAGATTCTGCCTTTCACACCAATACATGTAATTTAAGCAAACGAATATAATGTTATGTGTGAATTGGGGTTATATCTTGTGACAAATTGATCGTTCATGTCTTTATTTGGCATTTCCCTGTTAATCTACAATTCAGTTTATACTAACATTTCAAATATGCTAGGCTGCGGCAGCAAAGGGGGAAGCACCTCTTGGACTCCCTTTGAAAGGTGCTGGTCAAGATTCATCAGATGCGAAGCCAAGGGTAAGGCATAATTGTTGTGAGTTTAGTTTTGTTTAACCTTAGAAATATGGAGTTGTTATACATGACATGATTCCTCCATACAGGCTAACGGAATTACTCCCAAAGCTAGTGATGCCTTGTCTGGTGAACTTTGGGTGGTAAAGAAAGAGAGGATACGCAAGGCTTCTGTCCATGGGAATTTTCCTGGTTGGGACTTGCGATCTGTGAGTATATTTATCAATAAAAAAGAATTTGCTTTAAATGTCATTATTCTGGAGTGTCACAAAGATCTGAATTTAATGCATGAGTAAAATAGTATGCATAATATGTATAAAGAAAATCTCATGATCAATCATTTGACATCACATAAAGAGAAGCGTTTTGTATATCTACTAATTCTATATTTGAATTATTCAACCAAGTTAGAAAATAATGCTTATTTGTACTATACATCATACTTTTTATAACTGACTAAAGTGGAAAGCATTGAATAATTTTTCTGAAAAATACTGCAGTCAATATTTTCTAAAATGGTTTGTAAAATTAAACTTGCCAATATCAATGGTCTGAATGAATATTATTCAGCAGTGCAACTATATGAAAGGATGATACAACTTTTTGGACATGGTTGCTTTTTGGATAATATATCATGTTTTGGATTTGGCAGTGAACACTCTTGTTAGGAAAGTGGGTTAGCCATGAACGTGTTGTCTATATATTGCTATTAATGGAATATTTCCTTCATTTTTTCTTCTTTGTATGTTGTTAAAAATTACAGCATACATCTGTAATGTGCATATCATGAGAGAATTGATGTAATTGAGATGGGAATCAGAATATACATTTAGCAAACAAGACCTTGATTTTTCCAATGTGTTGAAAGCTGCACTATTGTATTTTTCTTTATTTTATCAATATGGTTCTGTAAAATGTAATGTATGGTCATTTTTTGTTTTAGATGAGTTATTTGATTATTCTGTTTGAGAATGTGTGCTTTAAGATCACAAATCTTTTAAACACGATGGCATAATTTCCCCTTTTCACATAGGTTATTGTAAAGAGTGGGGATGATTGTAGGCAGGAGCATCTGGCAGTTCAACTTATTTCACACTTCTATGGTAGGTGTCTCTTTCAGACTTTTCCTTTCCCCATTCATATTCATATTTAACCATTTTGTTCCATTCATGTTAATTATGGTGCAAATACTTTTGTTTTTTGCAATAATTTTGCCTTTTGGTGTTTGTTGTTCGTAACAATTATATTTGCTTATGATTATATGGTCATATAGGAGGTTTCTTATATTTCCCTGGACCTTGGTAGGCTGCCTCCTTTTGTTAAGTATAATTTACTTTTTAATAAATGTTGGTTCAGAATTTGCCTATTCTTTGCATATATCGAGTATAATTTGAATGACAAAAGGTGGTATTTTTTCTTTTGGGGAGTTACAACTGGGTTCATATGTGTTGGTTGTGCATTCTGTTTTCACTATGAGCGTGGCCTGAATGATGAATTGGACCTTGGTATGTAGGGAGGGTAAAGGGAAATGAGAAAATATTTAACAAAACTCTTGTTTTGAGGTATTCTTTCATCTTTCCTTTTATATTCACTTCCCTTTCTGGCCAAATTATCCCTCTTTACTTTTGTAATGCAGCAGAGCAGGTTTTGCTCTAACTATTTCTTAAATTTCATTCTCTTCTCATTTTACTGTTTTTTAGAGGGGATAACAGGGAAACTGAATTCATGAAAGATCCAATTGGAAGAAAGATGATAAAAATATATTTCTGATTGATATCTCACTGTACATAATGGCTTATAATATATATACAATGCGAGATACTATTCTTCCTAAAAAACAGCAATTACATCTAATCATATCTATCACTATAAATGGAATAAATCTGTAAATAGAATAAATCTACACTAAATCTGTACAATATCTTAACAATATCTACACTAAATCTGTACAATATCTTAACAATATCTCAACACTCCCCCTCAAGCTGGTGAATGGATATCTATCATTCCCAGCTTGCATGTAAGTTCTTGAAACCGTTCCATGGGAAGTCCTTTAGTTAACATGTCTGCCAGTTGGAGCCCTGAAGGAACATGTGTTGTGGCTATTAATCTGCTGTCCAACTTCTCTTTGATGAAGTGTCGGTCAATCTCAACATGCTTAGTTCTGTCATGTTGGACCGGATTATGAGCAATACTGATTGCTGATTTGTTATCACAAAACATTTTCATAGGAGCTTCATATTTTATTCTCAAGTCATCTAGTATGATCTTCATCCATAGCAATTCACAAACACCTTGTGCCATAGCTCGAAATTCTGCCTCAGCACTTGATCTAGCAACAACATTTTGCTTTTTACTTCTCCAAGTCACCAAATTCCCTCCAAGAAACATGCAATAACCTGATGTTGATCTTCTATCAATAAGGGATCCTGCGTAGTCAGCATCGGTGTATATTTGCATGGATAGGCTTCCACCCCTTTTAAACAACAATCCCCTTCCAGGTGTGGCCTTAAGATACTGTAGGATCCTATCAACTGCCTACATATGTCTAACCCTTGGATCATGCATAAATTGACTGACTATACTAACAGCATATGCCAAATCTGGTCTAGTATGTGCTAGGTATATCAATCTTCCTACTAGTCTCTGATATAGTCTTTTATCAACTTTAGGACTCTCCTCATCACTTCCTATTCGATGGTTTTGCTCAATGGGAACACCAGTAGCCTTGCAACCAAGCTTTCCAGTTTCTTTGAGAAGATCTAAGATGTATTTCCTTTGTGAAATGAAGATACCTTGTTTAGAGTAGACAACTTCAATTCCGAGGAAATACTTCAGTTTCCCAAGATCTTTCATTTCAAACTCAGCTGCTAATTTTTTCCTCAGAAGCTGCTGCTCAACCAAATCATCACCCGTTATGACAATGTCATCAACATACACTAATAAAATAGTGAATTTTCCATCTAGTGTATGTTTAAAGAAGAGGGTATGATCTCCTTGACTCTGTTTGTATCGCAATGAAGTCATCGTCTTCGTGAACCTTCCAAACAAAGCGCGAGGGGATTGTTTCAATCCATACAATGCCTTTTTCAGCCTACACACTTTGTTTGTCTCGCCAGTGATGTTATAACCAGGTGGAGTCTCCATGTAAACCTCCTCCTCTAGGTCTCCATGTAAAAAAGCATTTTTTACATCAAATTGATGTAACTCCCATCCAAAATGAGCAGCAAGGGAGAGCAAGATTCTGACTGTGTTCATCTTGGCTACTGGGGCAAACGTCTCCTCATAGTCAATCCCATATGTCTGTGTATATCCCTTTGCGACTAATCTTGCTTTATATCGATCTAATGAACCATCAAATTGATATTTCACTGTATATATCCATCTGCATCCAACTGATCTTTTGCCATCAGGTCTCTCAACAATCTCCCAAGTTCCATTCTTCTCTAATGCTCTCATCTCCTCATTCATAGCTTGAACCCAATTCTCATCCTTCAATGCTTCTTGTACGGAGGTTGGGATTTGGATAGAGTCTATGGCTGCAATGAAACTCTGGTGCTGCAAAGAAAGGTGTTTAGAGGAGACAAATTGAGAAATAGGATACTTGGCACAAGTCCTTTTTCCTTTTCTCACTGCAATTGGTAGAGTATCTAGGTTAGGCTCACAAGTATTCAAAGGATCATTTTCCAAGTCAGGAATGAAAGAGTTAGTACCTTCAATACTTACCATAGGTTCAGACTCTTGAAGTTGCTGTTGGTTTGATTCAGGTTTCCTTCTCCTTTGATACACCAAAGTTGGTGTAGCTGCTTTAGGTGGTGGAGTAGAGGGTATCAATTCTTGGGTAGAGTCAGATGAGTTTCTAGTAGGAAGTAATGGCTCTTGCGTATTAGTGAAAGGTAAAGGCTCTTGTGTTGGAGGAAAAAATAGGAATGACTCAGGGATAAATGACTCAGCTTCTGAAAGACTCTCCCCCTGAAGCTGAGGACGGAAGAAAGACTCAGTCTCATGAAAGGTGACATCCATGGAAGTGAAGAACCGACGACTGGATGGGTGAAAACATTTGTATCCCTTTTTATCAGGAGCATAACCTATGAAAATGCACTTAAAAGCTCGGGGATCAAGTTTATGACGATGTTGACGATGCACATGAACAAAAACCACACACCCAAAGATTCGATGTTGTAAAGTTTGCATAATAGGAACAGAGGGGAAATGGGATAACATAAGTTGCACAGGGCTCATATTTCCAAGAACACGAGAAGGCATGCGATTAATTAAATAGGTAGCAGTTAAAACAGCTTCACCCCAATATGAATTAGGGACAGACATCTGAAAAAGTAAGGCCCTAGTGACTTCTAATAAATGCCGATTTTTTCTCTCAGCCACACCATTTTGTTGTGGAGTATCCACACATGTAAATTCATGAATAATGCCATGCTTTTTAACAAAATCAGAAAATTGTTGATTCACATACTCCCTACCATTATCAGAATGCAAACGTTTGATAGTTTTGCTAAATTGTGTTTGAATCATATTATAAAATTGGACAAACAATTGAAAAACTTCTGATTTATCTTTCATTAAAAACAACCAGGTTACTCTTGTGCAATCATCAATAAAGGAAACAAACCATTTAGTGCCAGAGATATTAGGAATAGAAGCAGGACCCCAAACATCAGAGTGAATAAGTGTGAAAGGCTCGTCACATTTATTAGAACTAGATGGAAATGACACACGATGGTGTTTTGCAAATTGACAAACATCACAATGAAAAGACTCAACTGACTGGTTGACAAACAATGATGGAAACATAGACCTAAGTAGGGAAAAAGGCGGGTGACCAAGACGCTTGTGCTGTAACCAAATTTGAGAGACTGTAGACTCTGAACTTGTTTGGTGACATGAAGAAAGTACCCTCTGACTGGAACCACCTATAGCTTGTAACTTGAGGAGATAGTATAACCCTCCTGCTTCCTTAGCAACTCCAATCGTCCTCCCCGTGGCAAGATCCTGAAAGACACAATGGGAACGGAAAAAAATGACTGCACAATTATTGTCTTTGAGAAGTTTATGAACAAAAATAAGGTTATGGGAGAGCTGAGGGACATGAAGCACATCATGTAAGTGTAGGAAAGGGTGAAGGGAAACAATACCGGAGCCTGCAACTGAGGTACGGGAACCATCAGCTACAGTTATATGGCGTGTGCCTAAGGTGGAACGGTAAGAAATAAAATGTGGGGTGTGAAAGGTCATGTGGTCAGTTGCACCAGAATCAATTATCCATAAATCCTCAGGTACAATACTAGAAGCATTAAAAGATTGAGAATAGAAATTCTTACCAGACAAGGTTAGAGAGCAAGAGCCAGAGGGCTTACTAAGAGAGGTGAGGAGAGTTCTCAAGTGGGCAAGCTCATCTTTACTAAGGGCTGGAACTTCATTCTCCACTGGTGTATGTTCTGATGTGATGATATTTTCTGAGGTAGTCAGATTGGCCTGACTAGGGGACAAGCCTCGAAATCCTCCCATGCGACTAAGAACATTGTCCTTGCCATGAAGTCTAAAACAATTCTCCTTAGTGTGTCCAGGCTTCTTGCAATATGAACACCAACGATTATCTCGGGAAGGCTTCAAAGAGGTTGAAGAAGGTCCTGATTTTGCTGTCTTACCTGCAACCAAGGCGGATCCGGCCGTGGGTTTGTCGTCAAGCATAACAGCTCTACGACTTTCCTCGCCTCGAACAGTGTAAAACACCTCAGACAATGAGGGTAGTTTCTCTTTACCCAGAATCTGAACCCGAATAGGGTCATATTCTGGATTCAAGCCAGAGAGAAATTCAAAGACCCTATCCCTGTTAACAAAATCTGTCAGGATGGAAGCATCTTTGCTACATTCCATCTGCAGATTCTGGTATTGATCCAATTCAGCCCATAGACCAGTAAGAATCCCATAGTAATCTGTCATAGTCATTGCTCCTTGCTTGATTGAGAAAATCTTCGTCTTCAACTCATAACAAGTAGCAATATCTTGCTTCTTAGAGAAAGTCTGGTGAAGGACATCCCAAATCTCACGAGAAGAGGATAGGAACATACAATTACGACTTACATCGGGTATCATAGAGTTCCACAGCCATGTCATAATAAGAGAATCTTCATCATCCCAAGCCTCAAAGTGAGGGTCTTCCTTGGTAGGAGGATTTCCCTCAATGTGGGATAATTTTCGACGACCTTTGAGAGTACGCCGGATAACTTGAGCCCATTGCAAATAATTTTTCCCATTCAAGTGATAGGTAGGGTGTAGGACAGGAAGGTCATTAGGATTTAAAGGTGTAGGTGGATTGGGAGAGGAAGTTGAAGTGGAATGGGTAGCATTAGTGGTGGTTTGAGGGGTGATTTTAGGTGTTTCGGATTCTGCCATAGGTAAAGGGTGGCCGGAGGTAGGTCAGAGTGATGCTGCGGTGGTCGGATATGAAAGAGAGGTTGGAGAAAAAATGGCCAGAAAGTTGGCCGGCAGCGGTAACAGTAGTGGGTGTGGGAGAATACGACGGAAGAAATATTGGGAAAACAAAAAAAAAGAGGCGTTAGGGAAGAGACAACAATTAAGGTTGTAGAAATTGTCCAGCAATGAAGGCTGGAATGCAGCGGAAGGTGTTCAGGCTCCCAGGTCGGGAGCTCTGATACCAAATTGGAAGAAAGATGATAAAAATATATTTATGATTGATATCTCACTGTACATAATGGCTTATAATATATATACAATGCGAGATACTATTCTTCTTAAAAAACAGCAATTACATCTAATCATATCTATCACTATAAATGGAATAAATCTGTAAATAGAATAAATCTACACTAAATCTGTACAATATCTACACTAAATCTGTACAATATCTTAACAATATCTCAACAGATCCTATTCTTCTAAGGACAAATGTGTGTTTTTATGATCTCAGTTTAAGTTCCATTTTGGATTTGTAAATTGAAATGGAAGTATGTAAAATTAAGAATGGAATTATCTAGTGAACAAGTTGGATGCACCTAAGATTTGTTGATGATGCATGATTGGATCTTATTTACTATTATTTTGATAACAGATTAGCTCCGCATGCCGCAGACCCTTGTCTGTTGTGTTTCTTGTTCTGTTGTTTACAATCATTACGTTTTAATACCAGATATTTTCCAAGAAGCCGGCCTACCTCTCTGGCTGCGCCCTTATGAAGTTCTATGTACTTCTTCTTACACTGCTCTTATTGAAACAATTCCAGATACGGTAATGCCATGCTTACACATTTCAAATTTGTCGAAACTTCTATATTTTTGTGTTTAATAATTATTAAATTTATATTATATGTAGGCTTCTCTACATTCTATCAAGAGTAGATATCCCAACATCTCAAGTTTACGTGAATTTTTTATTGCCAAGTATCAAAAAGATTCTCCAAGTTTTAAACTTGCTCAGGTAATGAAGAGATATCATCATGTGAAGTTACACTGGCATTATTGTGGACTGATCTTGTTCATCTTATAAGTTGCAAGGAATTTTTAATCGAGTATCTGTGCCACTAGCATATATTATGTTTCATCCCCTCCCTTCCAAGCGGCCACTGACATTTAATTTCATGTTTTCTTAAATACAGGTAACACATTCACAGAAAGGAAAGAGCTGAATAGATATATGTTTATCCTGGTTGTTTGTTTTCTTATTAGTTTATCTCAGAATTGCAAATCCCTGCTGCGACAAGCTCACAATTTACTTCATGATGCAACCCGTGCATAGGCTAAATAGAAAATTCTAATTCAACCTAGAAAACCTGCCTGACCACATAAAATATTCCAAAATGTGGGCATAAGAACATAGCATAACGTGCATGTATGTTCAAAAAACGTTTCTATTGACAATCCAGCATAATCTCTTCTGATATCCAATATTTACAACACCTGAGAAGCATCCAAAAACATAACCACATTCATATTATTAAGCAATGGTATTCGTTTCTCTCCCCCTCCTGTTGGTAATCCTGTCTGGGATGTACTATAGTTTGTTTTCTTTCAGTACTTTCATTAACATGATGTAATTGTACTGACTTCCCTCCCTTTCCTTTTCTCTGGCTTAATTTTCTAGTGTGGTTTAGCTCCCCCAAGTTTTGAATGCTCTTTCTTTCATCATTTACTAAATCTATTTGTGGTGCAACACACCTTGACTCTATGTTAAAATGGAGATGTCATTTGCTATAATTGATTTGTTTATTTCTTTTTGGGTTCTCAGAGGAACTTTGTTGAAAGTATGGCTGGATATTCCCTGGTTTGCTACCTTTTGCAGGTTTGAAACATCTTAGTATGCAGATGCATGCATTTTCTGTAACTGGTGCAATACCTGCTTAAATTAATGTGTAATTTTGCTGTTTATTGTTGTTGGAAGATTGTGTTCTACCCACTCATTTTTTATTTCAATCCAGGTGAAGGATAGGCATAATGGAAACCTCTTACTGGATGAAGAAGGTCATATTATTCATATTGATTTTGGCTTTATGCTTTCCAATTCACCTGGTGGTGTTAATTTTGAAAGTGCGCCCTTCAAATTAACCCGAGAGCTTCTTGAGGTAAAACTGAGACCATGGCTGTTTAATATACACCTAATTTTAGGGTCCATTTGATTATTTACTAGCTTTTATGTATACAACAACCAAGTTAATGTGATTGTACTAGGTCATGGATTCTGATGCTGAGGGCATGCCTAGCGAGTTCTTTGATTATTTCAAGGTAGAAGATATATAATGATGATGATGTTTGCTAACTTCCACACATTTGTGTGTATGTTAGCATCCTTCACATTTTCTTTTGGACCAAAAAAACCATCTTTCTTTGTTAAAATAACTATAAATACTGATTTTTTATTTCTACTTAATTAATATTTAATATTTTTCTGTTACCACAGCCATATTTTTCTCCCTTTTTTTTTCTCCTTTGTACATGTGATGTAGTTTGATTTCTTTATCAAGTTTCTGTGTTGCAGACTTCCTGTGAGTTGAAGGCTGCTGTGCAACATATTATAAAACAAAAGATCAATTGAAATGCTGGCATCTATTGTTGAGTTTGGTAATTGCAAGAAAAATAATTAAAGGCTGCCACACACACACACACACACACACGCACACATATATGGAGTATATCCAGTGAGAGGTGTTTGTTTAATATAAAAGGTGAGAAGGTAAATCTTGATCATTCAACTATATATGAATGGATAAGATTAAAAAAAGTTTAATGATCACATGATTATTTTAAAATGTCAGGTAACTTAATGGTTTAATCTTAAGTTCTTAACTATTCCTGACTTGATATAATGGTCAAGATTCATCCCTTTCACTGTCACATCGAAAAGTCCTCCCATTTGATACATTGCCTATATATATCTTGGACCTTTGCATGAGCCATAAAATCCAGCACCACAAATTGTAGTGTAGAACATGCTCTAAATCCAACATGTAATCCTATGTCCTTGCACTCTTCCACTGAATCCCCCCTCCCAATGTTGTGTAATTAACTACACTCCTCTCCCCTGTCCACTCCAACACATGACATAAAAGCTAATTTCAAGTATGCTGTTGGTGGAAATGCACACTTAGGGAGTAAAAAAATAGGAGAGAAGAAAAGGTTATTGGGGATTTGAGGTAACTAAAAAGGTCAAATAATAGTTAAATTTTAAGTTTTTATTATACATTATTTTAAGTTATTATAATGAAGATGAAATTGGTTTTTTAGTCCAAAAGAAAATATGGAGTATGCTAACGTACAATGAATGTGTCGAAGTTAGCAACCCCCATATATATAGTCTGCAGGCATATGGCCTATTAGCTCTAAATTTGTCCAACCCTTTGTCCCCTGCTATCCAGGTTTTATGCATTCAAGGGTTTCTTACTTGCCGTAAGCATGCTGAGCGTGTTATTCTTCTTGTTGAGATGTTGCAGGTAATATAAATGTTTGCTTGCTGCTGTGGTCCCATTGTCTTGTAATATGTTGCCTGTGTTTATAATCAGTTCCGATTTCTCATAACAGAACAACTGGTTGTGTCTACTTTTGGTTGTTAGCCCAAACCTAATTCTTGCTGTTCCCTGCTTTGCTATCTGCCACCTAGTTTTAGGCCACCATTGGGAACTGTTTAATGTTCATTGAGATGAAGTTTATACCTTTTTCTTCTTTATAAAGCGATGTATAGTATTATATTTCCAAACAATTAAATGCTCAGATCCTTGAACAAAGAGCAGCTATCTGACATGATTCCTGTAGTGAATTTTGATTGTTCTACAATTAGGTTAAAGTGTAAACTTAGTCTTAAAATTACTTGGTCAATGAAGTGCTTAAGAATCTCTGATGCACATTGGACATCTTTGAACTATGAAATAGAAACAAAATATAGGCATCAATATCTTCCTTTTTAATCTTGTTAAACATTTGTTTGCTAATTTTGGAATTGGTAAAAGACTACTCTTTGGAAGCTTGTAGCGAGCCTGTCTTTACATTTTAAGATAGTTATTACAACCTCTAATCATATATTCTGTGAAGAACCATTCATTAAACAATATCTACTAAAGGAGCAGGAGTCAGAAGGTATATGTTTGGTGTTGAGATTTGTGCAAAAGGTTGCACTGTTGGCCCATATTGATATCTTTTTTTTTTAAGATAAAGTGTTTTTAAGTCAAAAATGTTTTAAAAAAATATAATAATAATATTTTTTTATTTTTTATTTTTTTGCAAAAGTAAAAGCAAAAACCTAAAAGAAAGTTGTTTTCGTGCTTTTCTCAGAAGTTAAAAATAGTTTAAAAAAAGAACCTCTAAAAGGGTTGTATCATAAAATCATTTTTCTTAAAAGCTTAAAGCAACAGATCTTACATTTGTATGATTAGAGGTTATAAAAATAGAGGGTTCCATATTTCCCTGCCTTTGTGGATGATGCTTGATTGTAGCCTCATCTTGCTACACGGTCCCGAGTATCACTTATTTTATGTTGCCTCATGAAACTCAAATGTGGGTGTCTAATGTCGAGTTTCAAGAAAATGATACTTTATACGCATGGGCATGGGCAGGGGCATGGTAGGAGAAAATCAGGAAATACCTTCCAATTCATGCTGGATTTGCGCTTAACTGTTGTTTTCTAATGTTGGTATCAGGAGTCTGGTTTCCCCTGCTTTAAAGGTGGTCCCCGGACAATACAGAACCTCCGAAAACGATTTCATCTCAATTTGACAGAAGAGGTTTCAATGCTAAATATTAGTTACTCTCTTAACTGTAATTTTTTTTGCGCGTGTTTGTTACGTTTTTTCCTCTCTCTTGGCAGCAATGTGTATCTTTGGTGCTTTCACTGATTAGCAGCAGCCTGGATGCATGGCGGACACGGCAGTATGATTATTACCAGAGGGTTTTGAATGGGATATTATGAGATACTTTGTCAGTGGCGATCATTTGCATGTTCACTTTTGAGTAAGCTTGCACGGTGAATGCCCATCAATTAGTATTTGCATTTTTTAAGTCATGGGAGGGTGGTCGGTTCACCGTGTTATGGCTTTAGAGTTTTTGTGAGAGGTAAGAATTAATAGGTGGCAGTGTACAACCTCTTTTCTCCTGGTGGCGGTGGGTGGAAGATTCTTACACCCCGAAGCACTTCAACATTCTGAGGATAAATTTACTCAAGCCAAGTCTTCGATCCCCCCTCCCTTGTTTCTTGTGAATGAACCCTGCTACTTGGAGAAGTTGTGTTAGCTTCCTATATGCTGAGAGTGCAAATTGTACAGTGGTGATAGCGGGAGTAAGAAGCAGATTTATATTGGATATGGGTATGAGTGCTGTGTAAACTGTTTGATTCATCAAAGTCTTGGTTTGAAGGTGCGTTGCATTGTTGAGCATATGACCTGGTGCCTTTTTTGGTATCCGTTATCATGGGCAGACCTCCAATATTGGCGGCGAACTGCTCTGTTATTTTTTCTATCCCAGCTGATCTATGGCGTGCCTTCCCAGAGTTGATTCTTCAATACTTACACTGGAAAATTGTTCTCAAAATTCTTTGATGATGTTTGATTACATCATGTGTAATTGATCCTGTTTACTTTCACGGTGAATTTTGTTCACCTTCATATCTATTATACAAAAGTTTTGGTGGCATCGTTCCTGGAACGCAGTTTTTCCATTTCCCGAGACCGTGCCTTTAATTCTTATAAACTGCACTTTATAAGTGTTGATTTCATTCACAGTCTGTCGTTTGGGAATTACTTTGGATCAACGTTTATGTGGTTGGCCGATTCAGTCCCTATCTAGATGTGGAAGGAACTCCATAATAGGTTCGAGAACATCCAAAGATTTGCTTGTCATCAATGTATTTGAGAACTCCATAAGAACTAGCTCATGTAATTTTAGATCAAAGGTGATGATTAAGTAACCCTGCATAGAGTAGCGATTCTAACATTTGGATTCTTGAGATTGCCTTTTTTTTTTTTTTTTGGCAATTGCAATTTACTTTACTAGATCAATTAGTGTTGAGGTTTCAAGCAAGTATTTATTTAGGTTCCTTTAGAGAAAAATTAATACTTAGACTAACAATTTAGACCATTTAAGCAAGTATTTATTACTCGTACCACTAAAAAGATAAGTAAAATTGATATATAAAAGATATGAATATTATATTTTAAATGAATAAAAAATTTTAAATCATTAATTTAATAAATAGAAAGGAGGAGAGTTGTGTTAAGCATTTGATAATAAACATAAAACTTGTTAAAAAATGTTATATAAATTACATAATGTAAGAACTATGTCATTATTTAGAAGTAACACATTGCATGACTTGAGTACAATGTTAAATGAGCTAAAGTTGTTGCATCAATGCGTAAGGGTTATCATATTAAATGTTAAATGAGTAAGGGTTATCATATTTAGCTAGATAAATGAGAGTAAAGAAATTAATCTATTTAAAAATTTGTACTTTGATATAATTCATGATATATTGGTACTTTGATAGGAAAGTTGCTGAAAGTAGTTAACACTAATTTGTAGAAAGATTAACATTAAGTGCATTCAAAAATCAAAATAGGTTAGAATTAAGATTAAAGAGTTTAATATTATAAGTTTCAAACTTTAGTATACAGAAAAAGTTAAGAAAAAGAATAAAGCATAACTATAAATAATACTTGAAAAAATAATGTGATAGAAATTAAAAGAATTATAAATAGGATTATGTCCTTAAAATTATTGGTTATCCAATACATTATTAATATCATCAATACTTATGCTTCACAAGATATCCCCAAAGTCCTTTTGAAAGCAAAGTTTTGAGATAATTTAAAGGAATTGTTCTAAGACATTTCGTAAATTGAAAAGAGTTTTATAGATGAATACTTTAATGATTATGTTAGTTGTGAGGTAAAATAATTTATAAGAGTTTATTGTAATTTTAGTTTTTGAGAGTTAAATTAAGTAAAAGAATCTATTCTTAATTTCTCAATGACCTACTATTTCTTTAATTTTTGACTCAATTATTTTATATAAATTTTGCAATCCCTTATTATTTTCTAAAGTAAATCCACATTAATTTTATAACTGACTAGTTATAATAAAAGAAAATTCATATCTAAAAGTCTTTATTTTACTAAAATAGTCCTCCTTAAATCTTTACCTTAATTATTACAATGTTTTTTTCATTCATTTTTTGCTAAAAAAAATTCTTTATTCTTTTAAAAATTAATTTAATTCTCAACTTACTTGCCCTTGAAATTGTTTAGTTTTTAATAATTGCTTAGCCTACTTAACATAAAAATTCCTTAATTCTTTACAAGTTGGAGATAAAATAATATTAATAATCAAGAAGATAAAATTTCAACATATAAATATACTAAATCATATATATTTAAGCATATGAGTAATTATATAAAAATAAATTATATCTTACATTTACTCATTTTTTATACTGATTTGTTTTTTCTATAAGAAATTGTCAAGAAGTTTAAAAAAAAAAAACCTATGTTGATGACATAATTGAATGATCAATATAAAATCTCAAATAATATTAACAAGTGATTGATATGTTATTTGTGTTTTATGTACAATTTGTTAAATTATAAAAAATGATATAATAAAAAACTTTTTAAAAAATTATTGAATAGGAATAAAAACATATATACAATTTCTTTTAAACATATTTTTTATGTTTTAAATTATATTTTTAAAAATTTGTTTAAAATCTGTACCATCCACGCAGGGATTTTATCTTGTTCTCTTCTGTACAAGGCTATTGCCAATCATGTGGGTGTTATAAGTGACTATGTATAATGCTATAATAAAATATAGTAGTTTTTAATCTAGTAGTACGTGATTTTTATCCTATATGCAAATATGTTGGTTTTATTCTTCCCAATAACAATTCCTATATACTTTTTTCAAACATTTTAACACATTCAAGAACTAGTCCCATGTCAATTAAATTTATCTCTGGAAAGAGTAGAATAACCCATGATGAACTTGAGCATGGAACACCCTATAAAATAAGTTAAAATTAATTTTAATTATTTTTGCTAAAAAATTATATTAAATTGGACTTGTTCATTGTATGGTAAACTAAATTAAAAATAAAAATATTTTAATTGTATTTTAAATTTTAATATGCTACTGCAAAAATTTTATGAAATATAAGATAAAATATATTTGTATCCAAAAAATAATTAATAGATATATTATTAAGATAAATTGTAAGATTATTAATAATTATAATTTTTATTATTTTGAAGTAAATACACTATATCATGTTTTAACTTAATTTTTTTTAATTTTTTAGTTTGTTTATTTTTAAAAAATATATCCAATAACATCATTTGATATTAGTTAAATATTTTAAATATATATGTAAATACATGTGTATATTTACACACACACACACTATAAAAATGATGACTACAAACTTCTAAAATAAAATAAAATAAATATTATTAATTTTTTTTATGAAAATTTATAAATGTTATCATGTTATTTCAAAAAACTTAAAAGGTAATGAAATTTATAAATATTATTTTACAATGAACAATATTAAATATTTAATAAATGTTAACATGTTTTTAAATTATTTATCACGAATACATATGATTTTATCAGTAAATGTTGTTAAAAATATTGACAGAAAATTAATATATATAATTTACATATTTGATTAAATTTAAAAATAATATTTTTTACTTGTCTAATAATTATTTTATTGTAACATAGATATTTTATTTAATTATTTATTTACCTTTTAAACAATTTAAATATAAACTTACTGTTACTATATAAATAAATGAATATACTTATTAATGATAAGTATAAATATAAGGATTTTTTTTATAATTGAAAATTAATGAAACTTTAAATAATGAATTACATTAGGTAAATTTTATAGATACACATGTTTATTTTTTATATATTTACACAAAAAAGTATCTGTATCCCTTCAAATATAGTGTTATTGTAAAGTTTAATTTTATTAAATTTCACAAAAATGTTGTACAACAGATTAGAGCCTCTTAGCCACAAAAATATAAAGGAATGTGAAGCTGTGTATGCAAGATATTGTATATTTTTTTTCAATTCTAAAAAATAATTTTCTTTTAGTGATGATATATATTTAAATACAATTGGTCTTTTTCTTCATATTCTCCGGGGGGGAGGGGGGGGAGAGAAAATATATTTAGACTTTACTTAGTTCATTTTTTTAATTTATTTGTTTTAAAGTAAATAAGTTTTGATTTTGTATATTATACATGTATATTTAAAACTATCATTTATTAAATATTTTTCCAAAAATTATTGACAATTTAAAAATTAGAAATATTTTTTATTGCATAATAAGTTATTTCACGAAAAGTGTAGACAAAAATATAAAAATTCTTTTATTCTCAAAAGTAAAATCTATGTACGTTTTATTAAATAAAAATAAAGGACAAAGCTTACAATAGCTAATAAAAATTCACATAAAATTGATTGAATAATAAAAATAATATATATTTAAAAAAAAAAAGCATGGCTAGAAGCAATCCTCTTACTGTTTATACTATTTAGTATACAAACCCAAAATTTGACAGCAGTTTCAATTTTCAATAGTGTGAAAGAAAATTTTCTTTGCCGCGTAGCTCTTCCCAATATTTCACAAGAAGAAAACACAAGCCCTTAATATAGAAAGAAACCCCTCACCCAAGAAACTAATTTAATTTTAATTAAAAATAAAAAATATTGAATATAAATGGAACCCTTCCCTCAAATCGTAAGTGTTGTAGTCAAAATTCAACGAAGATTGAAATCGGAGTGCGGAGTGTCGCGCTTCCACCATCTTCCTTCCCCGGTAAGCATGAATGACCCAACACAACACAAACACACCCTTCTATTTGCTTTTGATTTCTGAGATGAATTGAATTTGGTGTGTTAGGGTTCCACTGTGCCGATGACTTTTCTTCTCAGAAAGGGATCGTCATCTATTGTGTGCCATTTTCCCTTCATGAACCGGGGCAGGCTTTGGTGTTCTTGGAAAATTTTCTTCCGCCACTGGACTTGACGCTCCGCTTCCGCATTAGGGTTTCATCTATTCACTCTTTAGTGCTTTTTTTTCCCTTTTTTTTTTATTATTTTGAAACGCGATTCTTCTTCCGACGCTGCGAACGAGCTTCTTTCTCTTGGATTCGGGTGTGGTTTAAGCTGATAGATTCTGAAGCTCTTTTTGTATTTTGGGTTTTTTTCTTTTTTTGTCTCGATGGCCGAAACGAAATTGATTCCAGGGTTTCGGTTTCATCCCACTGACGTTGAGCTGGTTGAGTACTTTCTGAAGAGGAAGGTGTTGGGTAAAAAGTTCCCTTTTGACATCATTGCTGAACTTGATTTATACAAGTATGCTCCATGGGATCTTCCAGGTTTGCTTGTACCCTAGTTTTTCTTCTGTGGTAGAGTACTTTATTGTGTGTTCGTAATGGTTTGTGTTTCACTTAATAAGGTTTCATTTTGTTGTTCAGATATGTCTTTGCTCAGAACTGGGGATTTGGAATGGTACTTTTTTTGCCCTCGTGGGAAGAAATATTCCACTGGAGGGAGGATGAATCGGGCTACCGAAGCTGGGTACTGGAAGACTACTGGGAAGGATAGGTCAATTGAACACAAGGATCGAGTTGTGGGGATGATAAAAACACTGGTTTTTCACACGGGTAAAGCGCCGAAGGGAGATCGAACTGATTGGGTTATGCATGAATTTAGACTTGAAGACAAATATCTAGCTGATAAAGGCATTCCACAGGTAAATAACTTTGACTGAGGAAATGTATGTGTCTGTGTGTGGTTTTGTTGTTGGATGTATGTGCAGTTTGTGGCTTGAGTGCATGTAAGGATGTCTAGTAGTCTTGCTACTATTATTGACCTTTGTTACACTGGAATAGATTCTAAAAGATTTCAGCTTTTGTTGGATATGACATCAAAATAGAATTTTGTCTTTTTATGTTTAACCTATCTTAGCCCAAAAACTGATTTATGGTAGTAAATACTCTACATATGCTTGACTTATATGGCTTAGGATTGGAGCCTCTATTTGTTATCTTATTACTGTGTGTTTGACTAATTTAACATCCTTTTGTGCATTCTTTGGTTTGTTTGTCTGGTTGTTCTTCTTGGGAAATTATTTTATTGTTACACTGGTTTTTTGTATTGCAGGACTCCTATGTGATTTGTAGGGTATTCCAAAAGGAGGGTCCTGGTCCAAGGAATGGTGCACAGTATGGTAAACCATTTGATGAGAAAGACTGGGATACAGAAGAGGAAATTGATAGTGTACAATCTGTCCCTGTTGCTAATGTGTCTACTCCAGTTCCTATTGATCCTAGCCCAAGTCAAATATCCGTTGCAGATGACATCCATCCCTCTACAAGTGGATGCATTGGCTTGACCTCTGTATCATGTGTATCAGAATTGATGCCCTCTTTCTCGGCACATCCTTCAGCTTCAAACAATGAAGTTGATGATGACATTTTATGTTTGCTTAATTCTTTCAATGATGATGCATTGGCTGTGAACGAAAACAACAGAATTGAGGTGTGCATTTATACTTGTGCATTTTTTTTGGAAATCTTGGTGTGACTTTTTGCTTTTTTATGACTCTTGTAAGATGCTCCCCAATTTTGGTAGTCTCTGGTTTTATCTGCCAACAGATTTCCTATCGTTTTTGTTTAGTATATAGCTCCCCATAACCTTGTTCTTGGTATATCTTTGATGTTTCTGTGTATATATCATCCTGGCTTGGTTTCATTTGTGTTTTATTTACTGACTCGGATGATGCTTTAATGTTGTACTTTGTTCTATACATGTCTGAGCTTAAATGTATACTTTAGAGGATTGAAGGGAATGCCACAATCTATGGTTATCTACTTTGCTCTATTGGATAGTATTATTTGAGGATCTCCTTTCCCCTCTTCCTTTACCCCTCAAAAAACTTGTAAATTGTTGATTAGTTTTACTAAGAAATAAGCTAAGTAGGCTATATGGCAACCTTCCCTGCTTCTTTGTATAGGGAGGGTGGGGTGTTAGTTTTTATTATATTTTAGTCTATAGTAGTTTGGCATTTTTAGTTTTCTCATCCTTGTAAGTTTCTGGGAGGCATAAAAGTATGTTTGACTAACCTTCTAAAACTGGAAGACATAATTGTTGAACAATTGAAGCTAGTAATCATGCAGTTGGAAAATATAATGTAAATGTTATACTTGTATATTATCTCATCCATAAATTTATAGCGAGGCTTTTTCAATTGATTTCAACAGTATAGTATGTACACTTGCTATCTATTCTATTTGTGCTTTATCGTGCATCTCTCGTATTTATGCTAATTTTGTGATTATGGGATGACAGAAGGTTGATAATCCTGGTCAGGCTAACAATGCTGAAGGCACACCAAATTTTGATCCAAATGAGATTTTTGAGAACTTGGGAGACCTTAACAGCTTGGTTGGATTAGGTGAAGGCGGTTTTTCCTGTGGCAAGAATACAAGTGATATGCTTTATATGGGTGATGACTTGTGGTTTCACGACCCCCAAGACTTCTTGGAGTTAATTGACCTAGATGCGCCATTGGGCATGCAGAATAAACATGGTAGTTTAAGCCAAGATAAGCAAGGTTAGAAAACTGAAAGAAGTTTCACAGAAAATTGATAGAACTGTAGCAACAAGTACCTAACTTGGATTAGAAAAAGCTATAGATTCTCTTTTATGTTCCAATTAAAAATTATCGTGGCTCGAATTGACTATTTGAATATATATTTCTGTAATAAGTTAACATGATATCAACTGATAAGAATGTTGAAAGCTAGGTTCCTGTAATTCGTTGGATTAAGTTTTACTTTGTTTGATTAAAATTTGTATCTGCTGGAAGTGTGGGTTTAGTTAAGTGTTTGCAAATTTGAGTTTGAATAAACTGGATCTTATAGAATTGATTTTGTTTAAAAGTGAATTTAAATTGATATAATTTATATTCTTTTTTAGAAGTTTGTCGTAAAACATAATATAAAATTTTCAATTTAATGTAACTTTATAATTTATTGCGTGTACTCGAATGGAAGTTAGTGTTAAAAATAATTTTGAATCAGACCTACTAAATATGTTGACACAATAATCAAAGCATATTTGCATTAATTAAATTTAATTTTGGACGTATTTTTATACGTGCGTGAGTTTTTTCAAAATCTATGTTCGTTGCATTTTTGCGTTGAACATTAATCTTGGGTATTGTGATGTCAAAATGATAATTTTTGGGGGGTTAAAATTGTAGTTGGCTACATTTAATTAATAAAAGAATCTTGATTGCTCTATACTTCGATTTTAAAAACGAGTTTCTTTTTATTTTCTTTATAGTTGATACATTTCTATAATAACTATGAATTTAAAAAATGTTAATTTTAAGAATTGCTTCTTGATTGAGATGTTATATATGAAAATATTAAAAAAAATAAAGATTATGATGTTTTTCATATATATTTTTGAAAATTTTAAAATTTATAAAGTGAAATTAATATTTTATAATTATTAGTGAAAATAATAAATTAAATGTTTCGTAAATAAAAAAATCTTAATAACATAGTTACCATTTCGGGAGTCAAATCGATTTGTTGGTGGCGAACATTTGTAGAAATGTTATTGTGAAAGCATTGTACAAGTAAATGAGTTTATTCGGCGAACAATGGATGGCGGCAACAGAAGTAGAAAACAGAGAACGTTTGATTGGCAAAACCAGTTAATATCAGTTTTCGGAATAGATGAAAATAGAAAGTACGTCGTCAAGCACATACGTTATTGTTAGTCCACATCCACGGATGAAGAGTAAGTGCGTCTTTCCTTAAAGCAAATACTACTTTATTTAAGACAAATTTATATGCTTACGTTATTCTTTTCGTTCGTTGCATAAAAGTGAATAAGAATTATTTTAAGATATCTTCCATTCTCTTTTCTTCAACTCAATTGTCTGTTCTATCCAATCATCACGGTGATTTTTTTAATTTCAATTTTTCTTTTATTATTCACATTCGCCCACTTCATTCATCTTTCTTTTTTCATTTCCCGATCACTAATTCGATCTAAATACAAAGTTGGCATCAACTTACTTAATCCGATCCCTAAGGATTTCGTGTTCCTGCTTTCCAGTTGGAACATCTAGCAATTAATTTCTCAAATTCTTGCCTAAAAAAGCAGAGTTGTGAATTGAATATCTCATTTTACCAACACAAGTGCCTCAAAAATTAAGTCACATGGGCTTGGTCTTTAGAAGCTGTGTTGTGCAACTTGTGACAATTTATTCATCAACCTAATTTTAATTAATTATTGGACAGCTTGGAGCCACAAGGAATAAACAAGCAAACAAATAAAGAGGGGAAATTCTCCTAGAAAAATTAATAATACTATTTAGGCATGAAATCTCCAACGATCTATGGAGTTTAGCTACGTTATTCAGTGTACATGGTTCAGAATCCCTCACCTAATTGCAACTCTTTACACAACGACAGTAAAAAATGAGAAATAGTGGTATACTTCACCTTGATTCAATAGCATAAGTTTCAGAGCCTCTTAAAAATGATCGACGCCACCAAATTTGGAATGCCTTGCTTAGATTGGGACATTCAGTGCCATGCCTTGAGAAGTGCCTAAACCATTCCATGAACAGCAAGTATTGTTGATTTAGAGGCAGAGTAAGAAGTGTCTGACCCATAGCCTCTTGCAAGACCTTTATATCAAGCCCTTTTCTGCATCTTTGCAACCACCCAAAGTCCAACAACATAGGCTTGAACCATCCTTGAAGAAGCCCTGATCTAGCTTCCAACCGGCATTGTAATTTTCTTGTAGCCATTGCAACAAACAGAATTGCCGAAACTCGACTTAGTTCATATCTAATCATGGGGGATGCATTATCATGCATTTTAACAAGTTGGTGTTGATTTGCCCATGTATCCACAAAGTCCTCTGCTATTTGCCCATCAAGCATGATTTCGAGCAACCAGTTGATGTTATCAACTTGTCTTGAGACACGCTCAATTAGTGGTTTATTCTTATCTTTCTTTGTCAATCTTTCAGGAGAGATGGTGCTTGATGCCTCTTCAAAGAGGCTTACCAATGAGTCAAGACATGAGTGGCAAACAGAATACAGATCTTCCTTGCTGAGGTCAAGATGATTCTTCTCATAGACTGAGCTCTTGCAAAGAAGACCCTTCACTAGTGACTTCAATTCATTTCTTGCATTGGCATCCACACAAGTGGTGATAGACCAAACTAGTTGTCTAGCTACATTTGGTTGTGGATCTACCGAATCGTGCAAGTAAAGCCTTCCTAGGATGTCTCTTGTTGTTGCTTCATCAAACTTGAATCTAGTGAATAGGCTCCTCAATTTTTCTTCCTCTTCTTCAGTCCAAGGAACAGCTTCAAGGTATTGTAAACATGACAACACACCCTTAGTGAACATGATGCCTGCTGACACCTAGAAATGCAATGGGAGAACCATGTAAGAGATTGAAGAGGCACCAATTTGCACGCTCAACACAGACAAAGACTGCTTTAACACCAAAATCATCAAAATGTTCATTTGCAAGCTCCGTGTCTCTAAATATTTCCTTACCATAACATTTTCTTTTAATTTCATGTCACTCTTTGAACTGATCCTAAGGAAACAGTTTATTCCATCAAATGAAAATCTTTCTGTGGAAATATAATTAAAATTAGAGCTTTGTTAACCTTACTTTTTCATACTGAGATAAGTATCTAAAAGTAAGAAATTTTTATTAAAAAAATATATTTATTATATTAAAAATTTAAGAGTATAATAAATATTTCTTTTTAATAAAATATTGCTATTAAGGGTTAACATTTTTCATAAAAAAAAAAAATAGTACAGGGACACAAGGGAAAAAAACTCAAACACCATATCTAGCATGCCTTGGGCGCTTAATAAAACTTGAAAAGTTTTATAATAGAACATTGTATATGACCCATAATCTTCACAATCCAACCCATCTAGTCCCTAAACCACATTTATCCAAGTGCATTATAAAAACCCTAAATCAGAAGCACATAAAGGAATGTAATTTGCAATTGAAATGAAAACAACGAAAGTTAAAACTGTAATGATACCAACACAAAGACCGAAAGCGAATTAAAGGCATAGAACACAGACCCAGAATGTAACAGAACACAAATTAAAATTTTTTGTTTTTAATAATAAACGAAAGTAAGTGGGAACCTCCAAAACGTCAATGGATCGAAAAACGCCAATTTTGAGGAGCCTTTTGGTAACATCATTGTCATTCTCAAACATAAGCTCAATGGTGTCTCTGAACACTCCCAAGTTGTCAACTTCAGGAACCTCTATTCTACACATTTTGGTGCTTCCACTCGAAGACGAAACCCCTTTCTTATAATCCGCTATCAACCCCGCAAACACTTCCGAATTCGCACACAGAACCCCCGAATTCAGCTCCAGAACCATACACCCACCGTTCTTCCCTCTCAGACTCATTCTCACGTCAAGTCCCTCCCTTTCCGGGGCCGGCGACACGTCTCCGTCGAGTGGTGCCCGGAGGCTCCGGGATCGCAACTGGGGCTCCGGCGACGGATCAGGAACGACGTTTTGGATGACGGGATCGGAATCTATGGGTGAGACTCTTCCCGGAGATAAGATCCGGCGGGGGTCGATTCGAGGGACGATTCGTGAGGCGGATTTGGTGCTCTGGGGTGAGGTTGGGAGGGAGAAGGTCGGCTTGGAGTGAGGTTCGGACTTGCGGTGGCGAGGTTTGGAGGAAGGGTTGTCGGGGCTGGAAGGTGGAACGGCGAAGGAGCAACACCACGTGCGGCGTCGCCGGCGATGGGAAGGGTCCATGTTGGCGCTGAATGAGTCAGAGTGAGTGTGGTGACATCGATGTGTCTGTTTTGTTCTGAAATGATGCTCTTTTAACATATGAGGAAATGGAGTATCATGGGTTGTTCTGTTATTGTTTCTTTTTCTTTTTTCTTGGAATTGAGTAAATTTATTTTCTCGGGAATCGTGAGGTTTCGTTTTGGGTGAAGAAACTGAGGAAAAGGGTAAGGTGTTAATGTTTGTTTATCTCCTCAGTTGAGTCATGAGTGATCACATTGGTTCTTTCTGTTTAATTTAATTTGGTTTCGTGGATCTTCTGCGCCTCCAAAAAGATGTGTACCAGCTGCACCCTATTATTTGTAGCTAATTTCTATTAACACTTAAATCAATTATTTCTGCTTTACTCTTGTTTACAAGCAAAGTTCTTTTCAGAGGTTTAAGATTACATCTTCAAAAATATTAAATATTTTTAATTATAATAAATATATATAATAATTTAAAAATAATAATTTTTATTTTTAAATTGTTGAAAATATATCAAAAATTTGTTATAAAAAAATTTATTTTAATTACATCAATTATTAATTTTTTTATATTTGTTTATTGTAAAACTTGTGTTAATATTTATTTCTTTAATAAATAAGACATTAATTTAATCGTTTAATGTTATAGATATTTTTTAAGTTTAAGTAAGTATTTTATTTCTATAAAAATTGCATAATATAGACGTGTTCTTTGTTAAATATTTTATTAAGATATAGTCTCTATTTTTTTATAAAATATTATTTTTAAGTCTTTTTTAACTAATATGTTTTAATTAAAAGTTGACATTTTTAACATTATTTTAATAATTTATTTAAGCTAGAGAAACTAGAAATGATAACTTATGAAAAATACAAACTATATATTAACAAAATTTTATAATATTTATAAAGATCAAACACTTAATTAAGGTTATTTTTTAAATAGAGTATAAATTAAAGACATATCTTATTGATTTTGATAAATTTTATATTTATAAAAAATTGTTAAGAGTGCCAATTAAAAAATAAAAGTAAATTATTTTATTGAAAAATATATAAAAAAACACCTGCCCTTACTCTTAAGATTTTTAATGGATTATGATATAATTTTTAGACAAATAAATAGGATAAAATAAGTTAATGATTACTTTAATCCTAACTTTGTAATTCTTTTTCATTTGTACTTTTAACTCTATGGAAAATATATTTTAATCTTTGAATTGTTAAAAAACCTATCACATTAATCTCTCATTAATAAATATTATAGTATTTACGTGTATGATAAATGCCAATTTAACATATTAACTGGCAGGTGAACCATTATTGCAGATTAAATAATAGATGTCAGTAGAGATTTAAAATCAATGAGGGACACAATGATAATTATAGAGTTTCATAAAAGAAGGGTAAATTTAAAAGTAAAATTTAATAATTTTATTCTTAAAAGTCACATAATATTTTTTAGAACGTGATCTAACTAGTTGACATTCAATGTGTCAAACCTAATTTGAAATATATTTAAATAAATTAAGAAGTAAAATAAAAATTTTATTAAGTTACAAACAGAATTGGGAAGAAATTAAAAAAATAGAGAGCAAGTAATGATTTTATGAAATGGAAATAATAGCTATAAGTAATTATGAATAATGAATGATGAAAAGTATACAACAGAGGTAACCCAAGAACAGCATGATTCTGGGAACAGAGTATTTGAGCTTTTTAACTTTGCTTGTTGGGCAGGGAAACCACATTCTCTTCCTTTCAATCATTTATTCCATTAAAGGATTGTTTGCTTCTTCTTTCAATGTCTTCTACTTATTTTGCTTCACTCTTAATCTAAACACCATTTCAGGATCTCTTCTATTTTGTGTTTTATTGGTCAACTAGACATCAATTTAACTAAATTAATAGTTATCAATATTTAGTAATTTTGTATGGAAAAATTATGTCAGGGTCTTGCTATTCTTAGACATTGATTAAAAATATTAAATATATTAATTACTTAAAAACAATTATTAAATATATTTGTATTTTTAATATCATAATTATTTTTTGTTAATATTTTACATTTTCTTAAGAAATGATTTAAGACTTAAGAAATTTGTTAATACTTACCTATAAATTATCGATTAATTATTAAACAATTATGAGTTTAAATGGTAAGTTCCTTGTCTTTTGTTTATTCTGGCTAATTAGGAGAGAATGATTTAAAGTTGAAAAAAAAAAAAGGTGGATGGAAGGAATTTACACAAGGCTCACCAAAAAGCAACCTTTCCACGATTGGGAGAATTTGGGAGGGTGGTTATATAATTTTTTTATTAATTATTTATTATGAAAAAAATATTATAGAAAATAAATTATTATAAATAATTTTTAATTTTATTTTTAATTCATTCAGACAAATGGATAATTTTTAACATATTTTTTCATTTTTAGCCATTTAAACAGAACATGTTTCTCATTCTAATTGTAGATCCACTTTTTTTTGTATTTATTTCATCGCTTATCTAAATATACTCTTAAGGACATTGGTTATAAAATAAAAAAAATATTAAAAATTATGGTGAGGTATGTTTAAAAAGTATGTGAATAATGTTTTTTATAATTAATTTTTATCTTAACTTTCTTTACATTTGTGGTGAATTAGTAAGCACTAATTAAAAATTATGTTGAGACGTTGGGCTGAAGCAAAAGTCCAAAATAAAGACCCAGCCGAGGGAGCCAAATTGGGGGGGCCATGTGCGCAGCACTGACGAGAGTGGAGAATCTCCCAATTGAAAATGTCTTCTCTTTTCTCGGATTAAATGTTCATAACTGTTCTCAGTGTCTCGTTAAAATATTAATAAATACTTTTTTTTATTATAAATGATGTTGAAATATATATAGAATGAGAACATATTTTTACACTTTTTAACAAATTATTTTGATTTAAAATGTTTACTCAGTGCTTTTGAAGGCTTTTGCACCAAATTTTTGAAAGACCGCGTTCTTTGGAAAGTTAAAAATTGATGGGAATAGTGGCTTCATATTTTTGGCAACAAAAATAAAAATAAGATGTTATATATTATATTTAAATATAAAAGATAAGACATAAAAAAGCATGTAAAAATAGTACATATAATTTTATAAAATTATTAAAAATATACACTGAAGGAAGTGTGTAAACATGTGACATCACATCACATCACACCACACCACATCAGTAACAGTTGCCTCTATGCTTCAAATAATTGCATTCCTCACAGCGCATCTTCGGTCGGATCACTGCACCCTACCCTTCAACCTATGTTTCACTACTGTCAACATTATAATAGTTTTCTAATTTTATTTATTATTTTTTAAGTTAAATTAATATTATAATGGCATTTATATTATTTATGTATTGATTGTTGTCTTTCTTTGTATATTATGCGTTTTTTTTTTTTTTTTTACTTCTTTCTCCTTTTTTTTATATATTTTTTATGTTGTTACCACTCAAAATAAAATAACGTTGTTGACACTGCCTTGCAGTGAAATTTGAAAAAACAAAAAAGTGTAACAAAAGATTGTAAGTACTTAGTGAAGTTTGAAATTGACGGTGAATCAATAATATTTAAATATTTATAATATTAATAAAATTAAAAATAACTTCAGTCTTATAGAATAACAAAATTATGATAAATAAATAATAATAATTTATGTTTAAATACTATATATGGGTTTTTATTTATTTTAAAATATATTTTAGAATAATTTTTTTTAAAAATCTAAAAAAAATTCTTCAAATCGATTTTGTGACATTTATTTTAACTTAATTTTAATCTAATGTAATTAATTTCAAGTTAATTTTTTATTCTTTCTATTTATTGAGTTGCACGGATAAATGATTTACTAGGTTTTAGTTAAACCAATTAAAAATACGATGCGATAACCTTAGAACAAAATATTAATTATTTACCTTCTTTTTCTTATGAACTTTAATGAAAAGTAAATTTTTTAGTTTCTTTTTCTTTACCTCTCATTTATACATTTCTTTACAAGTAATTATAGGATAAGAGCTAGCTATAAAAAAAAAACTTGAAGTATAATTTCAATGACACACCTATCTTTTAGTTTTGTATCTTTATTTCTTTTTTCAATTTATTTATATATATATATATATATAGTTTTATTATTAATTTCTAGACTTATCACTAGAATTATTACCAAAACTTACCCATATCTAAACAATTCTTACTGAAACACTCGAGTTTTAAATATAAAATAAACGAAGCACGCAACAATATGAGTTTATGTTTTGTTTAACAAAATAAAGCAAAGCATGTAGAGAATATAAAGTCAATAATAAACTTAAATGGAAATAATGATAAAAATATTCAAAATTAAATAAGCTAATATAAAATCTTGTATTGATGAATTAAAACTTTTACAAAATTGTTAAAAGTTGATACAAAGATACTAAAAGGAAGATTGATACAAAAGCTAAGAAAACAGTTTTAAAAGTTGAAAGAAAATGTATAGGACTTTAGTTGGTTATATTTGCTAATGATTTCTCTTCTTTCAGGTCCAATTTTTATAGAATTTTTTAATCTTTTAGTTTGATTGCTTCTTATCTTATTTTATTGTTTGATAAATATTTGTCGGTCACACATCTTTCTTTTACCATTTGATGTATAGTGTTTGTCTGTTATGCTTGTATAAAGATGGATTTATCGTCATTTTTTTTATTTTATCTTTTTTTAAATCTTTTTATTCATGTTCTTCTTATGACAGTTCTTTTTATCAAATTTATCTATATTAACATGGAGTAAAAATCTCATAACAATCATCTTTGATATTGTAATCAAAGAGTTAAGAGTCCAATTAAGGACACTTACTTAAAAATTATTGTTTAAAATTTACTATTAAATATTAGACTGAAATAACCTATATTAGTATAATTGAATATTGAGGTAAGGATACGGGAGTTCCAACCAAGTTCTCCAAGGCTAACTATTTAAAAGGGAAAAGAAAAAAAATTGAATTTAAAATAATTTAATAATTAAACTAATTAAATTTATATTTTATAAAAAATTATTAAAATATATAAATATTCAAATTTTATACCTAATTTCAAGAATGTGACTTCAAAAATATTGTAATGGAAGGTTCTGTGCCTGCTTACAATTATTGTACGTGGGAAATGTGGAGAGCAGCATAGATGTCAAAATGCGTGCAATTTCCAGCATCACAGAGCAATGGTAAAGAATTAAACAAATTTTTATAT